AGTCTCTGTGATAATAGGAGTGTATTTGTGACAGTGTCTCTCTGATATCAGGAGTCTCTCTGTGACAGTGTATCTGTGATAATAGGAGTGTCTCTGGGATAACAGGAGTGTCTCTGTGACAGTGTCTGTGTGACAGTGTCTCTGTGATAATAGGAGAGTCTCTGTGATAACAGGAGTGTCTCTGTGATAGCAGGAGTGTCTCTGCGATAACAGGAATGTCTCTGTGCCCCAGAAGTGTCCACACCAACCTCAGGGACCCTTGCAGGGACCCTTCGCCCCATCTCTGCTCGCGAGGTCCCTGGGTGAAACCCTGCCAGGGAAACATCTCCTTTCGGAATACACTGCCCAAAAGAGTTCCATGAAATCAGGCTGTATGGTCGGTCTCTTTCGGGAATACAAAATAAAGTAAAAGTACCGAATGTAGCAGTTCGTGGGTATGCTCAGTCTATGTCCCTCTTTTGGGAGCTTGCTCCCACCTTTCATTTCCCACACATTTTACCGAACTTCGACGGAAGTGGAAGTTTTAGCGGTGTTATGCCGTTGAGTGTCCGATTTGAGTTCCATGCACTCGACGACCAAACACCGCTCTATGCATTTGCGGCTAAAGATGGCCATCGCCACATGTTCGTATGCCGAATGGCGACCACCCAGATGACCGCTTAGAACTTTACAGTTTAGGAGTGTTAATGAGGTGACAGAGGTTAATGAGTGGTAGACTCCGTATATGGGTGTTCTAGTCGTTCGGGAGTTTGTACGGTAGGTCAACAAAATACTAATAAACCGAAGGAGAATGCAATGTTCCGAACCCGTAGGAGAATGAATCAAAGTAACTATAATCCAGGGACATGTTGATCCGTCAAAGGGGGTTTCTCCATAATAGACCAGGCACTGGGCCATTTCTTTGTCGAGAGCATCTTTCTCGCTCTCCCGCTCGGTACAGCTGCCTAACCATTTAGGCTATCGTCCTCTATGAGGGCGTCAATTAGATCAGCCTTGGTACGAGTGCCGGCTGATTGCCCTCTGGCCTCCAGAAAATCTTGTAACGTTTGCATCTTTAAATTCACGCTGGTTCCGTACGGCTTGGAAGTGCGATCCCGCCTCTTGCCACCAGTTGTAGCGGACCCCCTGGTAACCATCATAGATACAGGTTCCCATCCCAAGATCCTCCCCCTCCGTGGGGTCCCAGCACAGGAAGCGCCATTAAATCCACAGGGTCCCCAACAGCCAGGGGTCTTCTTCCCAAGAGCCAAGTGACCGTCCCTTTGTCTCCCAGGCACGGAAAAAGGGACTTTCGCTGTGTTACCTTTCTTCAACCAGTTTCTGCTCGCGAGGTCCTTGGCTGAAACCCTGCAAGGGAAGCATCTCCTTTCGGGATACAAATGCTCCCCCTGGGCAGTGTTTGTCTATACGAACGGCGCCAACCCAGGGAAACACTCCCTTGCGGTTTCACATTTATGTTGCGAGTGCGAACGTTCTGATCAATTGGTGTGAACATTCTAATGGGGCACCGGGGAGGTCCTCACTCGGGAGACGAACTAGTCGAGAAACAATCCCTCTGACTGGCGTTCGTCTGTACGAATGGCGGCCATCCAGGGAAGCACTCATTGTGACGGACCGCCTGGCACTCTGACTGAGTACCTCCGCCAATCGATGCTCCTAGTGCTTTCCAAGGGCTCCAAGCACTCCACCAAACACCATAAGCACTGTAAATGCCACAAACTTCCGCAGCTTGGTTGGGGTCTCACCATCCTCCACCCACCCTGGGCCCAAGACCAGGATCCACCTTCCATTGGACAGACCTCTCTTAGTCCAGAGAGCATAGCAGGAACAAGCTCTTAGAAGAGCTAGTGATTATACTCAGGGGAGTATAGTGATTATAGCAATCCCCAGAGTGTAGTTATCCAATCCCCCAAACATGAGCCAAGACTTCATGAAGGGGTAAAGCAGGTCTGTTTAATGCAAGCCAGCACTTACAATTTATACATACATTTAAACCCCCAAGAGCCTCATTTATATGCAGTAGGTGACATAGAGCACTATAGTACAAGGAAGGGTGGGGTCAGACAATAGCAAGGGCTGATGGGAGATTGAGGAGGGACTAGGCAGCTAGTTTAAACTGGTCTGGCAGTGTCGCTGGGACAACGCCCTGCTGGGGAAACAATAGGACAGGAAAAAGGGGGAGGGGGAGAGGCACAGACAAGCAGGGCCGCCATCAGAAATTGTGGGGTCCCTAACACAGCTCAAGGTCTGGGCCCCTGGGTGCCCGCCTCCAAGCCCCGCCCACAGGAATACACACAAAAAGACACAAAAGGACACAGACACACACACAGAAAGATACACACATACTAACAGACACAAATACTGAAACAGACATACACACATATAGACACATACACATGCATACAGAGATACACACACAAATACTGACATACAGACACACACACTGACGTACATACATACTCACATACTGACACACACACACACATACATACAGACATAAATACATACTGACATACATACATACATAATGGCAAACATACACATACAAACATACAGACACACACACACACAGATAGATATATACATACACAGATAGATACAGACATACCGGCCGTCACTTCCTCCCAGCTGCCCTTGTGGTGCAGCCGCAATTTTTTTTTAAAAGGCCCCAGTCGCGCTAATACGCGGCCTCAGCGCTGACCGGGCCCCTGAAGATATAGGGCTCATCGGGTGGCCCTAAATGCTTGGGCCACCTGATGGGCCCCAGTGCAGATGCACCTGCGGCAGTTTCGCCAATCCATGTGGGGCCCGTCATGGTTGTCACCCCCTGATGGCGGCCCTGCAGACAAGCAATACATTCAACATACTCCTCCTCTGTGTCTGAGAGATAATTAATTATCTCCAGGTACAGAAAAACACACAATTTACAAACACCCCAAAAGTACCCCCAAGATCCATGGAAACCCCACAAGAGTTACATCCTCGGATAGCCCTGATCTGGGTGACCAGCATATCCAAAAATCACCCAGATCGGTTCAGTGGTTTGTTTTTTTCGTGGAAGTCACTTTTTAACCTGTCTTTTTGCAGGGCCCATAATCCTGGGGCAAGAGGCTGGCAAGCAGGCCCCTCCAAGTACCAGTGGCGAGGTTACTTTAGTCACACTCATGAATTGTTTCCCTTTGCGGTTTGACACTTATGTTGCAAAGTGTGAATGTTCTAACCTAACATTCTAAATAAGGTATTGGGGTGGTTCCACGTTCTGTGGGTGAATGGATTCCTTTCGTGGAAGACCTCTCCAACGGGGAGCGGGCACAATAAACGAAAGGATGGGGAAGCACACATAACACTGTTAAACCATTCTATCTCATTGAAGTGGTTATAGTGCCTGGAGTCCCCTGACGCTGTCCCTCCATTCAGTGTTAACCCATTCCATCTCATTGAAGTGGTTATAGTGCCTGGAGTCCCCTGACGCTGTCCCTCCATTCAGTGTTAAATCATTCTATCTCATTGAAGTGGTTATAGTGCCTGGAGTCCCCTGACGCTGTCCCTCCATTCAATGTTAAGCCATTCTATCTCATTGAAGTGGTTATAGTGCCTGGAGTCCCCTGACGCTGTCCCTCCATTCAGTGTTAAACCATTCTATCTCATTGAAGTGGTAATAGTGCCTGGAGTCCCCTGACGCTGTCCCTCCATTCAGTGTTAAACCATTCTATCTTATTGAAGTGGTTATAGTGCCTGGAATCCCCTGACGCTGTCCCTCCATTCAGTGTTAAACCATTCTATCTCATTGAAGTGGTTATAGTGCCTGGAATCCCCTGACGCTGTCCCTCCATTCAGTGTTAAACCATTCTATCTCATTGAAGTGGTTATAGTGCCTGGAGTCCCCTGACGCTGTCCCTCCATTCAGTGTTAAACCATTCTATCTCATTGAAGTGGTTATAGTGCCTGGAGTCCCCTGACGCTGTCCCTCCATTCAGTGTTAAACCATTCTATCTCATTGAAGTGGTTATAGTGCCTGGAGTCCCCTGACGCTGTCCCTCCATTCAGTGTTAAACCATTCTATCTCATTGAAGTGGTTATAGTGCCTGGAATCCCCTGACGCTGTCCCTCCATTCAGTGTTAAACCATTCTATCTCATTGAAGTGGTTATAGTGCCTGGAGTCCCCTGACGCTGTCCCTCCATTCAGTGTTAAACCATTCTATCTCATTGAAGTGGTTATAGTGCCTGGAGTCCCCTGACGCTGTCCCTCCATTCAGTGTTAAACCATTCTATCTCATTGAAGTGGTTATAGTGCCTGGATCCCCTGACGCTGTCCCTCCATTCAGTGTTAAACCATTCTATCTCATTGAAGTGGTTATAGTGCCTGGAGTCCCCTGACGCTGTCCCTCCATTCAGTGTTAAACCATTCTATCTCATCGAAGTGGTTATAGTGCCTGGAGTCCCCTGACGCTGTCCCTCCATTCAGCGTTAAACCATTCTATCTCATTGAAGTGGTTATAGTGCCTGGAATCCCCTGACGCTGTCCCTCCATTCAATGTTAAACCATTCTATCTCATTGAAGTGGTTATAGTGCCTGGAATCCCCTGACGCTGTCCCTCCATTCAGTGTTAAACCATTCTATCTTATCGAAGTGGTTATAGTGCCTGGAATCCCCTGACGCTGTCCCTCCATTCAGTGTTAAACCATTCTATCTCATTGAAGTGGTTATAGTGCCTGCAGTCCCCTGACGCTGTCCCTCCATTCAGTGTTAAACCATTCTATCTTATCGAAGTGGTTATAGTGCCTGGAATCCCCTGACGCTGTCCCTCCATTCAGTGTTAAACCATTCTATCTCATTGAAGTGGTTATAGTGCCTGCAGTCCCCTGACGCTGTCCCTCCATTCAGTGTTAAACCATTCTATCTCATTGAAGTGGTTATAGTGCCTGGAGTCCCCTGACGCTGTCTCTCCATTCAGTGTTAAACCATTCTATCTTATTGAAGTGGTTATAGTGCCTGGAATCCCCTGACGCTGTCCCTCCATTCAATGTTAAACCATTCTATCTCGTTGAAGTGGTTATAGTGCCTGGAATCCCCTGACGCTGTCCCTCCATTCAGTGTTAAACCATTCTATCTCATTGAAGTGGTTATAGTGCCTGGAATCCCCTGACGCTGTCCCTCCATTCAGTGTTAAACCATTCTATCTCATTGAAGTGGTTATAGTGCCTGGAGTCCCCTGACGCTGTCCCTCCATTCAGCATTAAACCATTCTATCTCATTGAAGTGGTTATAGTGCCTGGAATCCCCTGACGCTGTCCCTCCATTCAATGTTAAACCATTCTATCTCATTGAAGTGGTTATAGTGCCTGCAGTCCCCTGACGCTGTCCCTCCATTCAGTGTTAAACCATTCTATCTCATTGAAGTGGTTATAGTGCCTGCAGTCCCCTGACGCTGCCCCACATGGATTGTGTGTACGCCACTGAACGTGTCACTATACTTTTTACAAAATGAAAAAAAGAGGACACACTCTTCACATATAAAACACTTTAGGAAGTAGAATGATTTAGGGGTCCCGAGTGCTCCATTAAAGTAGCGGAATAAGTTTATGTTAAAACAACTTTGGTGCGATTCACTCAATTCTTAATATTCATGAAGCAGTGCTGTATAATGGATGTGACTATTGAGCTTGCTACACTGAATTCATAGATACACAAATCACTCGGTAGAAATGCTTTTCAACTCCTAATCTTGCTGACAAGATCCTATTTAATAAAGGAATGACCCGGCAAATGAGAAAGGGTCGCGACCTCCTCGTTAGAGACAAAAATGAATGACCTGTAGGGACACAACAGACTGCGTTTAATGACTCGTCAATGAATATAGAACGCGTGGGTCAGGGTCGGAGGTTATTCGTGGTATGAGACACATGACATGTGGCTCTGTGGATCCAAGGGTTAAATATTACTTTATGTCTACACCAGAGCATAAAACGACAGAAACTCGCCAGTCAGCGCCACTACCAGGACAATTTCAAAATGGCGAGTCTCGGTAAAATAAGATTAAAAACGTTAAACGCCAATCTGCATTAATGTAGTAAATAAATTAATATTATACGTGTCAGCAGATAAAGGCGCAAATTAATAAATACAAATTGAAATTCCAGAAAACCAGTTAAAGTGCCCATAAAAAAAAAAATGCTGCGAACAAAGTAACCGAACGGATTAACAAAAAGAGAGAAATGAACGGAAAACCCCAGAACTCGCTGTCGTAGTAATTCTGTCTGGAAAGGTTTTGGTGATCCGTCTGAACGGCTTCTCAGACTGACTTACAAAGTACCCAGGGTTTATTACTGTATGACACACGCAATGCGTGGAAACCTATACTACATGACACACGCCATGCGTGGAAACCTATACTGTATGACACACGCAATGCGTGGAAACCTATACTGTATGAAACACGCAATGCGTGGAAACCTATACTACATGACACACGCAATGCGTGGAAACCTATACTGTATGACACACGCAATGCGTGGAAACCTTTACTGCATGACACACGCAATGCGTGGAAACCTATACTGTATGACACACGCAATGCATGAAACCATAAACTGTGACACACGTAATGCCCTTAGAGTTGATTTTCAGGTTATAATTAATGTAATAATTGGCTCAGAATGTTGCAAAGGCTGAGAATAAACGTTATAGAAAACTTTCTAAAAATGCAAAATGGGAAGCAAGTCACCGTGCATTCAGCGTTAACACGAGCAGTTATCCCCTGGTCTAAATAAAGTAATGTCTACAATGTGACATAGAACGTGTAACTCAGACTGTGACCATGTAACCTACACGTCTCTGTTATTACTTCATAAAGGAAACTATGCAGGACAATATGTTCCTTTAAATGTAAAATCTGAGATCTGCTGCAGCAGTTAAACCGCAGGCTGCGTTCAGCAAGAGCTGTGAATGTAAAACAAACTGCTCCCTAAGCAATCATGGGTAAGAGCGTATCTCGCAGATTACAGCACGTCCGGCTAAATGTCGGCTGACTCTCCTCATCCTACACATGATGTCAGGGGCTATTCCACGGCCTGTCCTTCAGGTGGCTAATAGCCATTACAGGTAAGATTTAATGTCACAAAACGATTTGTACATTTACTAGCAGACTGGCCGCACGCTCACAAAACATCTTGTGTAAGTCAGAGAATATAACTTGACTGTCTCGTTCCCATACTTCCTTATAACAGGAGAAGACCTGTACTGAGAACAGATGTGGTCATCGGAAATATTAAACATAACATAGTCTCCGTTATGTAACAATGAAAGACATTACAGGTTAAGCTCACAAAGAGGAGTAAATATTGACAAACTGACTGCCTGCACTATGTTTCTGACATTTATATCAACATTCGCTAATATTGTACAGCGCTACAGAATTTGTTGGTGCTTTATAAATGGCAATAGTAATATTAATATGTTAAGCAATAATAGATTTTTTTCAGGATTTTTTTTTATATATATATAATTTTTAAAACACGCGCTTCTTACACTAAAGATTTATGTGGGTTTTTTTTACAATCGTTATTGTGTAATCACGAAATCATGTCACAATTTGAATCCCGTCTGCTATCAGTTTACAGAGAACAATCCATCCATCCATTTATGCTATGAGATCCCAGTTTATATCACTAATCATCCAGTTATTATTCTTTGCCGACACGAAACTCAGCGTATTTCCTGGGAATGTGTGTGGACCAGATGTCATTAATTACTTATAGCATGAAAAACAATTGGGGCTTATTCACTAAAATAAGAATTGCAGATTGATGGCTGTTCTATTGGAAATCACAGGGATTTTAAACCTTTCAATTTTGAATCGAATTCTCAGGGTTTTTCATTAAACCAGGAATTGTTATGAACTGGCAACAAAACTGCAAAAAGATTTTTTAAAAGTCTAATTTGCCTAAAAATTCTCCCCGATTGGCAGCTAATGAAAGAGACAAGCGATACATTTCACTGATAAATGTGGCAGAGTCGCTCTGTGCGTGGATATTTACGGTGACAGATACAGCTTGTGGTGACCCATCCATTCTTTATTAGTAAATTGACAGGAAATCATTAGAAGACTCGGACAGACACAGATTCACTCACTCACTGAATCTTGTTATTCGACGAGGGCTTCCTGTTGTTTGGTGGTCCCGTTTTAATGAATAATGTGACTTTTAGCATTAATAGAAGATTAGGAGTACCCGTCAGTATATACTATATTATTCCCTGTGTTAGTGACGGCCTCTGGAAGTCTCATTGTGATATCGAGACATTCTCTTATCCACAATAAGCTAGCATTACGACGGCATAGTTTGAGAGGTGAACTCGATCCCAAATCACAACCTCACATGGATGGCCAATACATTAACAGTGCTGCCCTTTAGTATGTGGCGTTAATATGCTTCAGGAAGAAAAATAATGAACTGCTCAACGCAGATTGATTAATGAACTGATTTCACTTGTGCAGCATCATAACGCAGGGGAACACCTTTCATGCCCAGCCCAACACCATGTAATAATGTGGGATAATACACTAAACCATTCCGCAGTTTGGAGGATGAATTATGGAGGTAATTCACAATATTTATTACTGCCCTGGGTAATTTACCAAGCGACCTCCAAATTGATCCAGTTCCACTCTGAATCAGCCCTGAATGCACCTGTAATAACTCACAATTTCTCAGAAAGGAACTCCCAAACAGCTGAGATATAATAATAAAATCTGTGCAATCTGTGCAATCTGTGCAATCTGTGGCAGAGAGTGAATCTTGTATTTAACCCCTTAAGGATACAGCTTCGAAAGCTTGTCTTACCCTTAGGGACACAAGCCATTTTTTATTTTTTTTGCTGTTTGTGCTCAACCACAATTTCATCTCTCATTTATTGCACCAACACATATTATATACCGGGCAAATTTCACATATACATAGATAAATTCTCACTAAGTATAAAATAAATGCCAAAAAATGGGGGGGAGGTGGGAGGGGGGGAGAGGAACAAAAAAAACCCCCATTTTTTTCACGTTTTTTGCTATAATAGCGTGTGCATAATATGTCCATCTTAGGAAAAGTAATTCAAATTAAATTCATTTATGTGTCTTGATTTATAGAGTACATAATATGTGTAGGATTTCCGCTTATTTTGAAAGTTAAAGGTCACAAAATACAAGGACTAAAATAAGATTTTAATGTGAAACCATTTTAGAATTTGGGCTGTTTGTCTTGTAGGTTTAGTAGCCATCACAGAAAACTAAATTGCCACACAAAGGTATATATTTATATAAAGTAGACATCACAGGCTATTTACCTAAGGTTAGTTTGATACTTTTTGCGTAGCCATTTCACCGCCAATCTCTGCTAAATATTGGAGTAAAATTGTGTTTTTTCTCTATTTTGGCATATACACATATAACAAGGTTTTTGTGTATTTCGTAAAGCTGGTGTGTGCTATTCCTGCACAGAACCCCATATTGTGTTCAGTTACATCTTCTGAGTCAAACTGTTATAATGCCCCAGAATGAGACATAGGCCCGTCAAATTCATCTACGAAAATTCTAACTTTAGAAACTGAAATAGCATGGTCTCCTATATGGCATTGCAGCTTCACAGAAAAGTGCCAAAGGCATACAGAAATGGGTATACTCTTGGGTGTGGTGGAGACAGTTTGACTGTTCAAATAACCCCACAAAGGGCTTTCATTTGATAAAGCAGACACCCCAGGGTATATTATATGGTGTATATTGTGCCTTAACTTGTCACCAATTTTTCACCAATTTATGTCAATGTTTGTGGGGGGATAAAATGGCATTTTTATTAAAAAAGGATATGAAAAGCATAATGTGTCCCTTCATTTTAAAATATTACACTAGTGACCCTAGTCTTTTAAAAATGTTTTCTATTCAAAAGGTGGAGATAAATTGGAGAGGGGAAGATGAAATTTAAAAACTTGGCCAAATAGAAATGAAATGGATTTTTAATCTCAATACCGTTGCCCCTATTGGTCTCAATATTGATTTTGAGTTGTGTCATTTTCAATTTCTAATTTTTCTTAAATTTTCTTACATTTCTTGCATTTTATATAGTGTATTTATTTCATAAAAATAAACAACGGTTTTCTTCTCCCTTAAATGTAGTTTCCATTTTTTTTTTTTTAAAATACAACATTTTGTCTCCACCACACCCAAGAGTATACCCATTTCTGGTTGACTGTTAAGTTTTATACTATACCTATATTCCAATTTACTCTTATATCAGTATTTTTTTATTAGTATGTATAGGTTTTACATTAAATTGCTGTTTTAAGATTTAATATAGACCTATATGTTTTTTTTTTGTTTTTTTTAAATTCTTTATTTTTATCGTGCTTTGAGTAGATAACAAGCAAGCTCGTGGTGCCCCAATAGCATTCCCCGAGCATATTTTTCTGACATAACAATTGGAACAATGAAATTATCAGCACATTTTGTAATGTTAAAGTAATGTTGCTTGGAACAGGATGTTAGCGAAAACATGTTACATTAGCATGGATTATGATCACAAGAGGTTAATTAACATGTCTATCTTAGTTAGATCAAGCGATATCTGCACTCGGGTGTCGGTGGTGTAAGTGTTGCCCTCCTCCCCAGGGTGGGGTGGGGGGGGGGATGATTACCTTTGTGCATGGTTGACCTCTCAAGAGAGGCTTAGCCCCTAACCAAGAGGGTAGCGGGGGGCACTTCAATGATTGGTTACGCGTGGCTAGATGTAACCGGACTAGGGCGCAGCTGCATGAGTGTTTGGGTGTATTATTGTGAGCCTGGTGTCTCTATGCCTAGTGGGCCCAGGCTGAAAGTTGTGTCCTCTAATGGGTGATTTTACAGCAAGGGACATAGACATATGGCATGAAAAAAAACAAAAAAACAAGAACAACCAGAACCATGTTGTTAGAACTTTACAATTCTGCAACTTTTCAGCCTAGGGCTGCCGGATCAGTGAGTCCCTCCATTGGGTTTGGACCGGGCTGGAGATGTCCCTGCCAGTCAGGTATCAGGTGGGCAGTCGGCTACAGTTCTTGGCACAAATGGTACCACATTGAATGGGTCCCATCCGTGAGCGGGATTTGAGTCCGTTAGTGCTGCCGTTGCCTCCTGCATGTCCAGAGCTGCAAGGAATGCTGGGATATCAGTCCCTGTAGTTAACCTTTGCGTGGACCCCTTGTACGAGACAAGAAGGGATCGTGGCGTTCCCCACCTGTAGGGTACTCCTGCTGCCTGCAGTCGGGTGGTGACAGGGTTCAGGGATTTTCGCCATTGCAGTGTGGCCTTGGATAAGTCCTGGTAAAAGGACAGTTGCGAATCTTCAAAGGGAAGTGGGGTCTTGTTTCTTACCGCTGCCATTATTTGCCCCTTGTCTTGAGGTAGTGCACAGCGGAGTATGACGTCGCCGGGCGTTAAGGTGGACGTTGGTAGGCGATATAGCCCAGCAATGTTTATTTTTTTAACGGTAGCAGGTGGCAGTACTGAAGCCTTCTGACGTAGTGTGGCAGCTCCTCTTGGGGGACCGTGGCCGGGATGCCCCTTATCTTTACGTGGTTGTGGCGGTACCTATCCTCCTGCGCTGCCACCTGTAGTGAAAGGGCCTGTTGGGCTGCTTGTAGTTGGAGTATAGATGCCTGCATGGTGGAGGTGTCTTGGCTAAGCTCTTTAATATTTGCTTCAGTTGCCTCCATTCTGCCTGTTAGTTGTTGCATGGATGATTTTAGGATAGGCAGGTCAGCAGTGAGGAGGCTTTGAATGTCTTGTGCATAGTGTATAGGGTTTGGAGGTCCTGTTTGGTTGCAGGTTCAGAGTTACCTGCTGATGCTGTGGGCTGTTGCTGTGAGTCTTCCGTTGTGTTCTGCAGCTGAAGTGTTGGGGAGCCCCTGGTGAGGTCGGGCCTTCAGCGGCCGCCATCTTGGCGGAGGTGTGCCGCTGGAGCATAGCTCCTATATCCCTCTGTTCTGGAGCGTTACTGTAAGCTGTTCTGTAAGCTTCTGATTTCTGCGCCCCATTGATGTGTTGGCGGGTGATGTGTGGATCGACCACAGCTCTGCTGTGTTACCCGCGGGGTCCCCGCCCCAGAGGTACTTGAGGTCGCTGTTGGTGGGTGTGTGGTAGGCCCCGGTCCTGCGTCTTGCCTTTAAATGCTTCAAGGAGTACTGGAAGGGCATCTGGGGATTCAGTGTGGTGTCCCCAGGCTGTAGCTGGTGCGTACACGGTCGTATGGCGGTTAGTCACCAGGATATCGCTCAGATTGTGTGTGTGATTGTCGGAGCTGGGAGAGATGGCGTCCTGTCCGGTTCAGTGCCAGGATCCGCTCCCCGACCTATATGTTTTTTAATGTACTAACTATGTTTGTGTTTTTGAGTGATTATAAAGGACTTTTGTTCAGTTAATTTTATCAATTATGATACCAGAAGAACAGACTTTAGAAGACAAATGGGAAGAATGAAGCATGCTGGGATTTGTAGGAACAACTAGGACCCGGAAGTGATGTATCGGCAAATCAAGCCGGCCCGGAAGTGAAGCGACGGCGTCAAACCAGAAATGAAACCCAGCGAAAAAAGGCGCGAAGAGGAGACGCGTTTCTGACGGAAGAGGAGAGAGAGGATATTTAGTATTTATGCATGCTACTTTTACATGTATTTTATTTTTATTTTTTGTCTAAATAAATTATAATTTTAAGTTACTTATATTCCATCTCCTCCTCATATTTGGTGTCCAGTTGAGGGAAGTGTCACCTCCTAATTGACACTTATGCCTGCAGTACTTAGAGCCAGTTACCAAAAGGCTCTATAAAAGGTGAGCATTGAGCTTATAAATATATTTTGCACTTTCTGGCTTAAGACAATCTGCACCAGGAAATCTCTTTTGTGCTTTATTTGGAGATACAATCCACTGACAGAGTGAAGAAAGGAACAACCCCTACGCCTAGGTGTTACTGCCTACCTTAAAAGGCATAGTCGCTGATGTGTTTAGAGCCTTTACCCTTATAAAGGGCTCTTTAACGTGTGAGTTTCCTTTTTTATTCACGTACTTTCCACTAAAGGATTACTGGGCAATACTACTCTATATATCTCTGTTTATTTTACATGCATACCCTGTGTGTACTGTAAGGGGTAAATGCATACGGAGTATTATTATCACACTTTTAGCGCTGCACTTATATCAAGTTGTGTTGAAGTTTGTTGCATTCTGATTCACTGCTTGGTATCTTGTTTTCTTATGGTTTCACAATTATAGTGGTTTTGGCGTATCCACTAAAAGTTCGTATACCAGCTATAACAAATAATTCTCACTAAATAACTATTAAGCGCCTTTAATCTAGCCACATCCATTTTTGTATCTTTCTAGCAATTTTTCCAAACATGTTGCATTTTTGCCGAGTATTTCTTACACTTGATACGTGCCACTGTCATAAAATCCCCAAATTATAACTCAGTTACATCTTCTGAGTAAAGCAATATGCCCAATGTATGGCCTAGACCAGGGGTAGGCAGCTTTCGGCACCCCAGATGTTATGGACTTCATCCCCTATAATGCACTTACAGCTATAGTGCTGGCAAAGCATCATGGGAGGTGTAGTCCAAAACATCTGAAATGCCGAAAGTTCTTTGGAATTTTCCCACGCTGTGTAATTTGACTCATAACACTATGATTGGTTACTTTCAATCCACCAATCAGAGTGTTGTTATGAGTCAAATTACACAGCGTGGGAAAATTCCAAAGAACTTTCCCACGCTGTGTAAAATGATACAGTGCACTCTGAGTGGTGGATTTCAAACCAACCAATCAGAGTTCTGTGACAGGTAAATGTAGAGACTTACCTGTCAGTCTCTTCATTTACCTGTCAGAGCACTCTGATTGGATGGATTAAACCCACCAATTAGAGTGCTCTGAGCCTAATTGCAGGGCGGGGCAAGGCTTTATAAGCCTTCCCCCGCCCTGCAGAGCTCAGTCTGCGCGGAGCCCTCGCCGGGTGAACATGGATTATTTTTTTGCACTCTTTTTTTTTTTTTTTTGCAACGGTCATTATGGATTTTTATTTGGCCTTTTTTGAGGCTGAAAAAAGAAGACATCAAATGGTAAGTTGTTTTTTTTACAGGTACTTAGTTAATGGTCCCTCCTCATTATTTTTAGGGTCAGGGGGGTAGGTAGGGGTTAATTGTTTTTGGGAGGGGGGTGACTAGGGGTTTAGGGACCCCTAGTCACCTGGGGGGGTTAAATTTTTATTTAGGGCCACCACCCACCGCTCAGGGGTGGGGGCTAGGGGGAGGACATTAGGTCCCCCCCCTTATTCTAATATAGGGCCCCCACCCACTGCTCAGGGGTGGGAGCAAGGCAGGACATTAGGTCCCCCCTTATTCTAATTTAGGGCCCCCACCCACCACTCAGGGGTGGGGGCCTTGGGGGAGGACAATAGGTCCCCCCCATTATTTTACTTTAGGGTCCCCACCCACCGCCACAGGCTGCTCACTGTTTACTAGACATGCCCCTACTCGCGGTATAGCGAGTATGGGCATAATTTACTAATACTAAGTAATCTTCATTTAGATTTAGGTCTTTCAGCCTTTTAGTAGATAGCTCCCTAATACCTTGGGTATTAGGGAGTTATCTACTTATTCGTTCCTGTCATTCCATTTACTGGCTAAGTAACTTGTATACTTGTATACAGTGTAACATTCTTCATTCTTCCACTGGGTAAGTATATTAGTACTTAGGCAATACTGTGCTTCGGAACTTCGGCACTTGTGCACTTTGACACTTCGGAATTTCGCCAACTTTGGAAATGCGGCAATTTCGGAACTTCAGAACGTCGGCAATTCGGAACTTTGGCAATTCGGCTATTCAGCTATTTGGAAGTACCCGAATATCCGAATTTCCAGAAATTCGTCCGAATACTCATTTGGACCGAAACAAATTGCACGTCTACTATTTCGTGAAGTTACCATGCTGTAAAAGAGACATGACAAGTTCAGGTTTTTAAGTGTGAATTTTCATAGATGGTGTTGATGGGTCCATGTTTCATTTTGGAGCAATTTAGCAGGCTACATATTCCAACTACACCATAAAGCATACCGTTTCTTAAAGAAGACATCCCAGGGTATTTCAAAAGGCATATTTTGAACCTTAGCGTGGGATCATTTTTCCGCTAGCTTGTACCAAGTGTAGTGGTAATAAGCATTTTTACTGCCTTTTTGACACACAAAGTGAGTTTGCGCAGCATATTTTGCAAACCTTATGTGTGCTATGACTGTATAATACTTCATATGTTGCTCAGCTATGTCGGCTGAGTACAGCAATACCCCCGTACGTACATTTGCCAGGTATATGTAGACATTAAAGGGGCACATTTGAGACACAGCCACTCCAGGTTTTTTTCAAAAATAGAATTTTTACGCTGTGTACATATTCCATTTTGGAGTTTAGCTGGTTGGCTATTTATACTGCCCCAAAACCACATACTATTTATTAAAGAATACACCCCGGGGTAAAATACTGTCAGTAATGAAATGGCAGGGAAGGGGTTAATTTTAATAAAGCAGGGGAAAGGGGGAGGGGGGGGTGGGATTTAACTTTATTTATTTATTTAAGTACACAGGGAGAAGAGGACCAGCACTGATCCGTCTCCCTGCACTTCCCACTGAACACGAAAGATCACATGTGCTCGATCTGACAGCCTGTCAGAGTAATCACAGCTGCAGGGGCAGCACGATCGGGCACTCATAGTCTGCCTCGTAGACCGAGGAGGAGTGTTTACTCTGCGATCGCCGCGATCTGGGGTTAATTTTAATAAATGAAGGAAATTTTCCGTCATGCGTCCTTAACGATAGGACAAGCATGATGGAAAATTTGCGTCTTGCGTCAGGAAGGGGTTAACTGTTTCACACTATGTTTTGTTTATTTATTTTTTAGAAATACCAGCTGAACCCACTTGGGTTGTGTATATTTCTGAGATATAATAATAGTCATCAAGTGGATGACAAACAGCTAACCAAGAGATAGAAACATAATTAAATGGCAGAGCGATGGTTAATAAAGAGCTTCACCCATTCCCCAAACAATGCCAATCTCTACAGTTTTTCTATGGAAAGCAAATTGAATTTTAATAAAATTTCCATCCAACAGATCAGGATGAAATTTCTCCCACTATAGGAGAATACCGGAACTTCTATTCCCCCTGATATAAGAGAGTACCGGAACCTTTATTGCCCCAGTATAGGAGAGTACCGGAACATTTATTCCCCCCGTATAGGAGAGTACCGGAACCTTTATTCCCCAGTAAAGGAGAGTACCAGAACCTTTATTCCCCAGTAAAGGAGAGTACCGGAACCTTAATTTCCCCCCAGTATAGGAGAGTACTGAAACCTTTATTCCCCCAGTATAGGAGAGTACAGGAACCTTTATTCCCCCAGTATAGGAGAGTACCGGAACCTTTATTCCCCCAGTGTAGGAGAGTACCGGAACCTTTATTCCCCCAGTGTAGGAGAGTACCGGAACCTTTATTCCCCCAGTATAGGAGAGTACCGGAACCTTTATTCCCCCAGTATAGGAGAGTACCGGAACCTTTATTCCCCCAGTATAGGAGAGTACCGGAACCTTTATTCCCCCAGTATAGGAGAGTACCGGAACCTTTATTCCCCCAGTATAGGAGAGTACCGGAACCTTTATTCCCCCAGTATAGGAGAGTACTGTAACCTTTATTCCCCCAGTATAGGAGAGTACTGTAACCTTTATTACCCCAGTATAGGAGAGTACCGGAACCTTTATTCCCCCAGTATAGGAGAGTACCGGAACCTTTATTCCCCCAGTATAGTAAGTACTGGACCCTTTATTCCCCCAGTATAGGAGAGTACAGGAACCTTTATTCCCCCAGTATAGGAGAGTGCCGGAACCTTTATTCCCCCAGTATAGGAGAATACCGGAACCTTTATTCCCCCAGTATAGGAGAGTACTGTAACCTTTATTCCCCCAGTATAGGAGAGTACTGTAACCTTTATTCCCCCAGTATAGGAGAATACCGGAACCTTTATTCCCCCAGTATAGGAGAGTACTGTAACCTTTATTCCCCCCAGTATAGGAGAGTAGCGGAACCTTTATTCCCCCAGTATAGGAGAGTAGCGGAACCTTTATTCCCCCAGTATAGGAGAGTACAGGAACCTTTATTCCCCCAGTATAGGAGAGTGCCGGAACCTTTATTCCACCAGTGTAGGAGAGTCCCGAAACATTTATTCCCCCAGTATAGGAGAGTACAGGAACCTTTATTCCCCCAGTATAGGAGAGTACTGGAACCTTTATTCCCCCAGTGTAGGAGAGGTGCAGAACCTTTATTCCCTCCCAGTATAGAATAGCACTGGAATCTTTATTACCTCAGTATAGAAGAATACCCACTTGCAGTTTCCTACTACAAAATAACCAAACCTTTCTTCCCACAAACTGTTTAAGAGAGGCAGATAAAGATATAAAAAGTAAAATAAAGGCAGAAAGAGAGGAAACGGAGTGAGGTTTTTATTTTTCTTTCAGATACCAAACCCCAATAAATGCTTTGTGTGAACCTAGCACCCAGTGCGTCTGTGATAGCTATTCTGTCATTTTCAAGTGATCAATCTTACAATCAGTGCCACCAGGGTTATTCACTAAATTGTGATTTATCAGAAATATAAAGAGAATTTTACATTTTAAGCCAAAAGTAGCCGACAGGAAAACAGGCAAAATGTTGATCTAAATTTTGAAATTAAAGCAGAAGGGAATAGACATGTCAGAATTACCTGCACACAGGTCCCTAGACCACCCCAAAGCCATGTCCAGGCGGTGAGATCCTTACTGAGTATCATTCCTCATTTAATGGGTCACAGACGTGATACACGAGACCACACAATTATTTCACATTGAACATCATACATTGAATCAGATTTTCACCATGATTCTCGTACGCCCACCCAGGAGATTATAAAATATCTCAGAGCACACAGTGACGTTTCAATCACAATACAGACGGCTGTGACACTTTAATGGCAGTTTTGATGTCTCCGAAAGTCGACGCGAGATACCCAACTTGCAGGGCTATTTACTAAACTTCCGTTTATGGAAAATGAAATGCTTCAGATCATATGAAGCAAATTGGAAAATTTCTCCAGTCCAGCATTTTCATTTTGACTATTTTTCCTTAAAATATGCAACTTTTGACAATAACCCTCAAGTCCAGATTTACTGAATACACCCCAGAGATGTAATTATAAAAACAGTGTTTAATTACATGTGACCATTCCTTTCATATAAGATTTCAAGGAAGCAGCCATTTCCATTATGAGCCGATGTTTAGAAGTTTCTAACCATTTGTTAATAATGCTTTATATTAACAGAGGACTTACACCACACTTTACCAAGACAGTTAGAACAACAAGTTTTAATAATCCTAGTTTGAGCAGAATCAGTAAGGTCCGCTATTAAAGTAAAATAGTGGAGGTTTCCCTAACCGTTTTAGAGCTTGGAGAAAATCTTAATTTGGGACTTAATCTAACAACTCCGAGATATGAACATGGTGCTGTATTTCACAATGGTGACTGTACATAGAATAAAATGGGTCATTTGGGATGAAATTTTGTTTAGAAGAAAAGATCAGGTACTAGAGCCATTAAACACAGTATAGTGTGACCCCACTCGCTAATTAAGATATAAAAAAATAAATAAAGGGTCAGTATATTCTATTTGGTGCAGTCACTTCTGTGGCAATAAAAAGGACTCACACTACCAGAATTAAAAAGGCTGCTGGTGTGTTATTTGACAAAAACAAACAAAGAAAAAGGCAATTCTGATCCAACCTGGACGCTGAATATTTTTTACTACCCATTATATATACAAAAATGTTTCTCACTGTAACAAGCTAATTTTCCTTATATAAACCAATTATTTTCTGTCTTTAAAAATGATACGGTCCATCATAATTTCATGCATCACATCGAGTCTCGTTAGCCGGAGTGTATCGCTTGGAATCCTTGTTTCTATAAATAAAATAAAAGTGTTTTTTCCTTTACAACGGTGCGTAGAGCGGATACCACAGTTATGACGGATTCTGGAGGCTCAGCGAGGTTTCCGAGGTGAAACAAGTCTGGAATATTTATTTTAGAAAATCTGTCTGTAATTGCCCCTCCGTGTCATCTAGTAAACTGCAGAACAGCAGCCCTCGGTATGAAGGTAACAGGCAAATCGTAGTGTGTTTACACCATCTGAGGGAGTGCCATTATCTGCACGCATCCAGTAACAGTTTGATCACTATACAGCGTCCGTTATACCATGTTGTTGCTTTCACCGGCTTTGTCTACCAGCTATGAGAAAAGAAAAGAAAAATGTTATATGACTAAAATCAAAACACAGTTCTAAGAATATGCAGTCACATAATGAAGGGAAATAAAAAAAAAAAGTGTCCGGATACTTTTTAAATATTAAGTGAATAAACAATATTTTTATACATCTCTTCTTAGCGCAGAGGCAGAGAGACACGCTCCTTTGCCCACACAACGCGTGCTTATATGAACACACAGCACATGCTGGGAGCAGAAGGGATTCAATGAAAATACCATGCAGCTGGGTATTTATGGGAGAACAGCAAATACAGGGTGCGCTAAGTAGAACAAATGAGAGATAATATTTACAGAAAGAGGGAACAACAACAAAAAGTCTCTGAAAATGCAATGTGGACCTCAGATAGGTATTCTTTGGTTCTTGATTGGGTCCTCAGTTGATATGAAAAACAGAAGCAAAAACAGGGAGGGACCAATACTGCAAAACCGTTAGGAGATGGTGTCACGGACAACACAGAAATAGAGAAGTGCCAACCTACAATATACAGAGCTATGCCGTGCTCTAGGTAAAACGGCATACAGTGGTATTTGAAACTCCCCAAATGACTGTTATTGCGCCCAGCGTTACAGGAGAACTGGTGTGCTCAATCTCTGTGCTGACAGACAAAATAAATTAGTCTGGAGTGAATTTTATTGCTGAATCTCCAAAACCATTGCAGTTTGTCAAGTACCTGGCTTGAGGCGAACACCAATTTTAGGTCTGTATACAAAGACGTGCCTTTAACCTAAATCCTTCCAGACATATCCCTACATTGTCTTATGAAAAATCAGTTTCATCCGTTAATCTGAAACAGATGTAAAGCTGTGTTTGCAAATCCAGTACTACAAAAGAAATCCTTAGGTGGGGATTATTCCACTCACACCTGGTTCATAAAGCAGTGTGGCTGCTCTATACACTGTAAGTACGTTTCCTTTTACTTCTATTTTATCTACTATGGGCCCTCTTTTGTGCTTTTTTTTCCCCATAAATCCTGCACTCCATACATCACCAGATGGATATCCTACATGTGGGGAGTTTAAATACCACTGGATGCTGTTTTACTCAGAGCTGGTTATAGCCCTCCCAATTGGAAGTTGGCACTCTTAGGACCTCAGTGTTCGTTTGTAGCTGACATACGTTATTGCACCATTGGGTTTTTCCCTTATTTTTATGTATTTTATATGCTGACGTGTATTTGAGACGTTGTACAAAGTATTGAAGAAACACCTCCTATTGTCCAGCTATATCCTACATGTGGGGAGTTTCAAATACCACTGTATGCCGTTTTACCTAGAGCACGGCATAGCTCTGTATATTGTAGGTTGGCACTTCTCTATTTCTGTGTTGTCCGTGACACCATCTCCTAACGCTTTTGCAGTATTGGTCCCTCCCTGTCTTTGCTTTTGTTTTTCATATCAACTACTGAGGACCCAATCAAGAACAAAAGAATACCTATCTAAGGTCCACATTGCATTTTCAGAGACTTTCTTTTGTTGTTCTTCCCTCTTTCTGTATATATTATCTCTCATTTGTTCCACTTAGCGCACCCTGTATTTGCTGTTCCCTGTTCTCCCAGATTTGTTGAAGGGTTTGAGGGTTGCCCTTCCCCTCAAGTGTGCAGCTCCATCCACCCCTGTGATTAGTACTGTAGCGCTGCTCCACCCCAATTTTTTCCAAGCGGTATTTATAAAGCGGACACTAAACCCAAAATGACAAGCGTAGAAATTTACATTGTTACAGAATCCGGAATCTATAAACCCAGCCTCCTCACAACCTATAAGTAGCAGGCAATTGGTTGGCTAAGGACTACAGTGCCCTCCCTCGAGGAATCTGCTAATAGGTGCAGACTAGGGATTCAAACATTCGCCATCAGGGAGTATAATTGCGGCCCCTTCATATAACCTCACGTTGTGTAGGAGGTGTGAGACAAGAAAATTCAAATGTAAAAAGTAAAAGATGGTCTTCCATGCAAATAAATTCAAGAGGAGAAAGATTGGAACTGACCATTATTGTGGAAATCCTTCTCATTTATGATGGCTTGGGACAAAAAAAAAATAAAAAAATATCTTGATAAAACTACTATTCAGAGTAAAGGTTTGATAAACCATTAGAAATTGTATGTACAGTGTGTTTCTTAATATAGATCGGCCAGACCAAGGATTCCATTCTAAAACATTTATTAGCAAGGTTCTAGGTTACGAGAAATAAAACACAAAAAAATCCTGTAGGTCAACTGACATAAGGTGTGTATGAAGGGGCGCTCTTGGCTGAAGTAGCCCCAGGTTTCAGAAACGGAAAAGATAGATAAAGACACACACTGAAGGTTTTCGCTTGTCCACTAGCCAGTGGCAAGTGCAAATTGTGCCATGGTAAATGGGTCATGGATCCAAACTAACTGCGAGGACAATCTGTGCTACTCAGGATGAAAAACCCCACACGGCATACTTTACACACATACACCCCCCAACACACACACAGTGTACTTCAAACACTGTGCATATTACCAAATCAGGCTGGCCAGTTTATATGGTGAAGAGATAACGATGACATGCAGACACACACAGTATCACCAGTCAGGCTGGCCGGTTTATATGGTGAAGCGATAACGATGACATGCAGAGACACACACACAGTATCACCAGTCAGGCTGGCCGGTTTATATGGTGAAGCGATAACGATGACATGCAGAGACATCACACAGTATCACCAGTCAGGCTGGCCGGTTTATATGGTGAAGAGATAACGATGATATGCAGACACACACAGTATCACCAGTCAGGCTGGCCGGTTTATATGGTGAAGAGATAACGATGACATGCAGACACACACACACAGTATCACCAGTCAGGCTGGCCGGTTTATATGGTGAAGAGATAACGATGACATGCAGAGACATACACAGTAAAGTCGTGTTACTCACAGCACAGTTTATAAGTTATTTGCTTCCATTATTGACCAAGATCAGCTCATGTTTCCAAGTTAAGCTACATACTGTTCTTGCCAAATGATAGCAAATGTATAGCTGTAAAGCGGTTCTCTTTATTTTATTCGGATTTGTCTTTTTAAATCTGATAATAAAAGATGGGGTCCAAGGGCAGCTGCTCAAAGCTTGCAGGAGAATGTACTCATTTGTACAAATTCAATCAGAATGGTTGATGAAAACAAGCTCATAATGACCAGTTTGGGACTATGGTTTAGGTGGAGATTTTATTCCAGATCAGATTTTTACCTCAGCTTTTCCATTTTGATTTAAAATTTACAAAAATATAAACTTTTAGTGTAACCCAGTTAGACTCACGTTGCTGACCACATGTCGATCCTCTCTCTCTCCCGGGGCCGCTTCACCAGCTCAATCATTCCCAATTCTGATAACCTCATACTGTCTACCAGCTGTACACGTGTCACAGACTCACTTTGCTGACCACGTGTCAATCTTAACATTTGCTCTGTCTGTTCAGATGCTTTTTTTTTTTATATATATATTACAAACTGCCAACATGTGCTCACTCAGAGAAACTTGCTAGCATCGGAATAGGAAGTGACATGACGAGCCCCTAGTCAATATGTGGATATTAAACCATCCTGTACTTGCAATAAAAAATAAAAAAAAATAGTTCACAAATATTTAAAATAGAACCTTCTTGGAAACGTACTCTGTGTGTAACCTTAACAAACAAACCACAATATATAGCGCAGACAAGCCATACCCATAACAGTAATCATACGTAGATGGAAACTTCATTAAATAACTGCATTTACTCCTTAGAAGATTTCAGATTTACAGGATGCAACTCTCACAAATGGCTTCATTTTAAAGCGGCTCCTTTAATTGCCAATTAATGACATCAGAATGTTGGACTGGCTCTCCAAGGAGCGAAACGCGCCATGTCCACGGTCAGAGATTGAGGCATAGTGTGGAGAGAAGACGCCAAACATGGGAGAATTGGTCTGGAGCCGGTCTAACATTTTATCCCTGTAGTAACTCTGACTTCACTATATTCACTCCTCTGGGTGTCCTTGTGCCATTGTTTAGGATTTTGCTTTACATTAAGAATAGCGACTGTTGAATTTCGTTTGGATATCTTGTTGTGGAGCCATTCCATGTTTGTAAGGGTACGTGTATGGACTGTCTGTACTTTATTTTACGGTTACACACTGGGTACCTTGCCAAGGACAATCTTTTAATATTCACGCACCGTTTACTTGTTTGTTTCAGATTTTTATACTGCTTTATAATGGTTGCTGCAGGTATTTTTTTCGGATGTCAGTTTTTGCACTTTATAAGTGGTGTAGATTTTAACACTACACACTACAGGGGTGTCCAAACTTTTTTCAAAGAGGGCCAGATTTGATGAAGTGAACAGGCGTGAGGGCCAGCCATTTTGCCTCACATTCTTTGAACCATTAACATTAAATGCTAAATTAACTATTTTATGCAAACGGCATACTTTTCATCTCATCTCTTTATTCCGGCCCTTCATTCTCTGCCCCTTCCCGCTTTTATTCTGCCCCTTCACTCTCTGTCTCCAGGGAGAAGGAACGAAATCCCGCGACGTCCAAGAGACTGCGAGAACTCAGACTGAGGTTACTACACGTCCGTCTGTGTTCTCGCAATCTCTTGACCCCCAGTGAATCCCTGTGCGCCGCTCAGGACCGCGGCGTTCAAAGATCCAGAGATCTTGAGTGGGGTTCGGGGATTCACTGTGTGCCACAACAGATAGATTAGCCAAATAACATGTGGGGCCGTATTAAACTGGAACGGGGGCCAGACTTTGGACATGACTGCTATACTACAATCGAGTTTTTTCACTTAAAAATAGTGTGTTTAGGTAAAATACAGTTTGCCTGCGCTTTTTGGATATAAAGGGCCAATCAATTTTTTTGGTTCTTAAACTTCACTGAATGCATTTGTCTTTTCACATTTTCAGTGCCTATTTATTCACTTCTGTGGTTTCTCGTTTGGTTAATGAATTCTGCGTGCAAAAACCTTGTTTCTCAAAGTGCATCATTCATTTCAGACAGGAGACTTACTGCTAAGCCGATAAGAAGTCACAGTATCACCAGATTAGAATAAAATGAGTGCGGATCATCATTCTTCCATGTTCACGTACACTATTTGTCACTCACGCACACGCCAAGAGATACAGAGCACTAACAGAATTAAAACATTTTTACAGAACGGATTAAAGTGAGCTCAGATCCTGCCTGGAATTTCTCTGTACACCTAGAAAGATCATTTACAACTTACTAAGAATTTATCTGCAATAGCCTTCTCTAAAGAGGGAAAGAGAGTGCTTGTAATAGCTGACAGCTTCTAGTCACATCCTAATATCCAGCCTACATTCCTTACCGAGCGGATTCCTGGTAAATTCAGCAGCGACCCCAGCACTGGTATTCTTCGAATGAAACCAATAACCACTGGAAAGAAGCCCCTAAAAAGAGAAAGGATTCAATTAACAACATTCTAGGTAACAGGAATGAACAAAGACAACTAAAATGGTACTTGCAGGATTATCTAGATAGGGCATTATATACTAAGAAAGTGAGCCAGTGGAAAATAGTTGGAGTAACCCTTTAACACCTAAATCAACCTGGGCCTAGCCGTCTAAATTTTGAAATGAACCATTACCTAAACAGCAGGAAGAATCCATAGATTTCAAGGACCATTCCTATCAAAGGCCAGCCGACAAGAACCACGAAAACTCCCCCAAGGAAGAAGCCAGTGGCTTTTACTTTG